AGCCAAAGGGAAGATTTGCTTCACCACATTTTCTAGTCTTTGGTGTGGAAGGAAGTTGGTTTGGAAACATAGTTGGCGATGCTTCATCTCCTGCTTTGCGTTTGTGTGGGAGCCCCGTCAAAGAGTTTCTAAGAGTTCTTTTTTCTTTTCATACCGCGCCCCCAATTATTACAATAATACAGCCTTGAGGCGACTGTTGCTGTGATTTGGTGCTTTATAAATAAATTTAATTGAATGTATGAGAGTTATGTTTTTAATTTTCAAGGACGTCCTTGAAAATTCCTTTTCGCCTTGTATACACTTTAAGACTTTAAGTACAATTTGTAATCCTGCCACATCCAGAAATACTTGGATGACACTGTTATTGAAGTGTGTGTTAGAAATGGACAGGAATCTGAAAATAGGGATCTTCTAAAAGTTTTCAGCCACCAGAGTCTTCCCAGAGATGCCTCTTCACACACTGATGCACCATCCTGGAGTATTTTATCCTTTGTTTTACCGACTTTTGAAATCTTTGGACTTGACTGCACTTTGGGTTCTCTCACTTTCACACCTAATACAAATTATTTGTGACAGTATTGTTGTAATTTTTATTAAAAACTGGAAAACAAAGCATTTTAACTTTTGGTCTTTTCCCCTGTGGTGTCAAAGAGTTTGACTCATCTTTGCCCAAAAGTGGAATCAAAGCACTTAACATCCAGGTTTTTGGTTAAACTGATGTCATGTTAAAACAGAGTTTATCTGCATGTTATTTAATAGTTAATCAAGCTTGATTCTAATCAAAGTATAGTCACAAATAAACAGATCAATATGATGAATAATACCATGCAGTTTGAGTTATGATGTGTTCTTGGCTCTCTGTGTGGGAGTAAAAGACAGATGTGAGACTCTGTGACTTTAACGTGTATGATTTAAAAAGGAAATAATACAGAGTGCACTGTGATTGTGAAAGTGTTCCTGTGTAACTGAGACGTCAGGCTGGAATTATGAAGACGCACGATATTCATGTGTGACTGAGCTGCAGCGTGCAAATGTATATGCAGCATACATACGGGAAAATGTGTTGTTGTGTTGAAATGAGTATAACGGCTGAATTTTGCTCCAGTTGATCTGTGTGAAGATCAGAGCAGGAACGACAGAGTGGCTCAACATCGGGCCGTGTGAGTGTCACACAGGGTGACGCTGGTGCTGAGGAGGGGAGGCAGAAAGAACTCAAAACGAACCAACTAGTCTAAACTAAGAAACACTCAGATATTGAGTTAAATGTAAGAACCATTTAATGGACAATTGTCAAAAACGAATGAAGGCATTTCAAACCATGAAGCGCATTCTTCAGTGATGAATGATGCTGCTTAACTGTGCAGGCGTTCAATATGGCATGTTACTACAGAAGATGTTCACGTATTACTAAAGTACAACAAAATAACAAAATCATTTAAATAATTTAAAAAAAGAATAAATCACAACTGAAAAGTGTGGTGCACTGTGCATTATGTCGTGGAAAATTCATGACAACCACTTGAATAAAAGCTAAACAACAACACAATAAATAATCCAGACATTTTCTTCTGCTTATCTGAAGTCAGGTCGCTGAGGCAACAGCCTAAGAAGACCTCCCTCTTACTCCAAACACTGAGCTGTTACCAGCACATCTGTCCAGCATGTCCTGGGTCTACGCTGGGGGCTCCTCCCAGTAGGACATGCCCAGCTGGAATAGCTTACAACTGAGCTCCTCACCCTAACACTGAAGGAGAGTCCCTCAGAGAAAGATCAGTTTCTTTGTATCTGTGGTCATATTCCCATAGATCAGGCTTAGTCTGGGCCATTAATGACTGACATATGAAATGATCTCATATCATGGAGTTGTGGGGCAATTTGAAACTCACCTTCCACATATGTGGGAAAGGACGCAAGGCTTCTCCTGGACTGTAAATGAAAAGACAAAAGTATGTTAATACATTGTTAACCGTGTGAGTTGACTACTGAACGAGTAATCCAGTGTTGACCTCACCTCTTTACTGGTGGGAGAGGTTTCAAAGCTGTCGTGCTGTAGCAGGTGCTGACTGGAGGACTCTGCTCCTGGTGGAGAAGGTGACGCTGAACCAGGCGACTGCAAAAGAGAATGAAAACAAGCACAATAACAAACACATTTTAATGCAGATCTGT